TTAAGTGTCCGACTTCGGATCAGGTCATGATCTCACAGTTCTGAGTTCAAGCCCTGCATGGGCTCTGTGCTGACAGCTCAGAGCCTGGAGCCTGCTTCAAATTCTGTGTCTCCCTCTCTCTCTCCTCCTCCCCAGATCACTCTCTTGTCTCCCTCTTTATCAAAAAATAAGTATTAAAAAATTAAGTAAAAATAAATTAAAAATTTAAAATTAAAACAAAATGGAAAGCTGTTCTTAAAGACAGTTCCCCCTCTTCCATAAACTCAGTGCCTTTCTTCCATCCAACTCCACCCTTCCTACATTCCCACTTCTGTGCACACATCGCTTTAAACATCCCCAAAGCAAACACGACAATTTTTCTTTATACATATAAGATTCAAACAAGGTCAATGTCTCACTGCCTCCATTACAGACAAATTTCAGAGCCTTGGAGCTCCTTTACCATATGTCAAGAAGTGGCACAAGTTTAACAGAAACAATTTAGATAGTATTATTAACTACAGAGCCATAGTTATTTCTTTGGAAATAAAAGTTTCACCTGGAAAAGTAATCTCCCTTTTTGTAAAGTGGAAAAAATAAACGTGTCAGAAATCATGAGTTCCAAATCCTATTTGGGACAATTAGCACTGTGTGAATTGGTATTTGAAAAACTAGATCCTGGAACTTAATAATACATAAAAAAAATTTTTAAGAACACCTGTCTGTGACTTAGATCCTTTCAGTACACAAAGATAATTAAAATGCTGAGTTGGAAAGGGCCCAAAGAAAACAAAGCAATAAAGTATGACAACATGTGAGGATCAACTACTGCACAGAAAAATCCCCAACAGCATTATTTTGGCTTTGGAATATAATATGAAGGAGGACATACTACTGCTCAAGGTAATATTTAAAGTAATTGACATTTTCCTGAAAAACCGAAACTTCAAAGGTGTCCTGGGGAAGCAGAGAAGTCAGCCTTAATTTAAAATCTATCAGTGCCAATCTACACAGTAAATACAAAATTTACTACAAAACACATTGCATTTCTATAATAAAATACACTAGACGCAACAATTTTCAATTTAAGAACTGATAAAACATCGTAAAAATTTAAGAGCTAGAGACTAATTCTTAACAGTTCATATCACAAATTTTTTCGTGAAAAGTGACAATCACTACCACCTAAGACCCCAAAATGATACAGCTTCAAGATTTTAAAACAGAAAATACAATTAAACACTGGAATCTTAATTAACAGCACATACTGGCCTGCACTGATTTATCCCTTCCAATTCCTAATGCTTTCTAGTTAAAGTCTAACTAAGCATAAAAAAAAGAAAAAGAAAATCCAGTTGCTAGGTTACAATGGTTAAGAAATCAACACTGAACAAAAAACCATCATCAGTTACTCTTCGTTAACTTCCAGAAATTAACCATATACCATATGCTATTACAATTTGTTTTGGAGGCTGAAGAAAGACAAAGACTGATGATTTTATTTTGGGGACTCAATTCTATGAAGCTGAATGATAGCAAAGTATTCAAGATTTCAACCAACGTTAGAGATAGTCACAGTATGTTTCTGGACAATTTTTATTAATTCAAGTACAGTATCACTAAAAGAATGACTTCAAATAGCTCAAAACTGAATAAAACAGGGGCACTTGGTAGGCTCAGTTGGAGGAGTATGGGACTCTGATCTCTGAATCATGAGTTCGAGCCCCACATTTGGTGTAGAGATTACTAAAAAAGAAAAACAAAAAAGCGTAAAAACAAAAACCTCTCCTTTAAAGAACATTTTATGGGGCGCCTGGGTACCTCAGGCAACAGGCATCAGACTTTGGCTCAGGTCATGATCTCACATTCATGGGTTCGAGCCCTATGTTGGCTCTGTGCTGACCGCTCAGAGCCTGGAGCCTGCTTCAGATTGCATGTCTCCTTGTCTCTGCCCCTCCCCCTCTCGTGCTCTCTCTGTCTCAAAAATAAATAAAACATTAAAAAATTAAAAATTAAACACATTTTATTTTCTATGTTTACTAAGTTCAAGTTAGAATTAGAACCAACTACAGAGGAAAAAAAAAAAAAAAAGAACCAACTACAGGGCCTCCTGGGTGGCTCAGTCAGTTAAGCGTTGGACTTCAGCTCAGATCATGACCTTGCGGTTAGTGGATTTGAGCCCCTCATCGGGTTCTGTGCTGACAGCTAGCTCAGAGCCTAGAGGCAGTCTTCGGATTCTGTGACTCTCTCTGACCCTCCCCTGCTCACGCTGTCTCTCTCTCTCAAAAAAATAAAACATTAAAATTTAGAATTAGAATCAACTACAATAACTAAAAAAACATACAAAAACTAATTAGCACACCTCCCTTCTCCCTGACCCTGAGGTGAAGGAGAGGTCCTAAAATCCCAACCTTCTCCAAAATGAGATTGAGTTTTTATGCAAACTGTTAGACAAAACTTTAAAAAAACCTGATCGAAAGAAATGTACCTCAAAAGTCACTACGAAGTAGTATTCAAATGAGGAAAAAACAGATCTTAAAACTTTTTTTTTAAATTTTATTTATTTCTAGGAGAGAGAGAAAGAGAGAGAGTGGGAGCATGGGAGGGTCAGAGAGAGAGGGAGATACAGACTGAAATAGGCTCCAGGCTCTGAGCTGGCAGTCAGCACGGAGCCCGACGCAGGGCCAAACCTACCAACCGCGACCTAAGCAAAAGTCGGACGCTTAACCGACTAAGCCACCCAGGCGCCCCCTTAAAACTCTTAAAATACCCAGACATAAATGTCTCTCTCCACATCTAAAATAATGTGTATATCATGTTCAAAGAGCATGCAAATAACTTTTGATCTCAGGGTGGTGAGTTCAGACCCTACACTGGGGGGTAGAGATTAAAGAAATATATTACCTGAAAAAAATTTTTTAACGTTTATAGCACACTTCAACAAAATGAGTCCTTATCAATAAGCCAGTTCAACAAAATGGGTCCTTATCAATAAGCCAGGTTATTCCCAGGACTGAATGAACTATTTAACTGTTTTTTCCTAACTCAAATAACTCACTCACAATATTCATCTTAAAAACAGTTTAGTTCAAAAATTTGCAAGATGGGGTGGGGGGCGCCAGGGTGGCTCAGTCGGTTAAGCCTCTGACTTCGGCTCAGGTCCTGATCTCAGGTTCCTGAGTTCAAGCCCCGCGTCAGGCTCTGTGCTGACAGCTCAGAGCCTGGAGCCTGCTTTGGATTCTGTGTCTCCCTCTCTCTCTGCCCCTCCCCCTCTCATGCTCTGTCTCTGTCTCAAGAATAAATAAAATACATTAAAAATATTAAAAAAAAAAAAAAGATGGGGAGCATCTTTAAATAAAATTTGCAAGATGGCATTTATTTTTAAAAGATTTTTCTGGACTCTTCAAAATACTCAAATTGAAAACATTCTTGTAACTGAGACTGCTCTTTGGAATATTGTTACACATTTCATTTGAGTTTTTAATCTATTCACTTAACATTTCTAACTATTTCATGTGGCTTCCCAAAAGTATATTCCAAATCATTTTAAACATATTTCTTAGTGAAAAGATATTTTGTTTGGCTACATTAGTCTATTAACAGTTGGTAGCTTATCTGAGCATTTATTTCCTCCTAGACTTTCAAAATAAAAAAGAAATTTTAAGACTGACAATCCTGCTACATTTTTTGGAATAAAGATTTTCCAGGGAAAAACAAAAACTACTTTACAGAGATTAAAATATTATATTGAATACCACTAGGCTGGGGGGTCTTCTAGATGTTCCCTTTATACAGTAATACCGTGTTCCAAAGGCTTGCTCTCCCCATTAACCTACAGCAGTGTACCCTTTGGCCCAACATACTTACCATCAATATCGTTACTTTATTAAGTAACCCTTTGAAAGTGCGTTACTTTTCATAGGAATTAAACTTGTTACCCTTCAATTACTCTCTGTAGAGATCTTTCAGGGAGCAGTTAGTACCAAAAAAAATTCCTATAAAACCGATAGTTCTCACGTCTGAAGACAGAGCTTTTCCTAAGAATATTAAGCCTGGAGAGTGGGAGTGCCAAAAATTTTTATTAGATTAAAAAAAAAATCACAAAGGTTTTTCTTTACCATAATCAAATTGAGTTTAAAAAAAAACAAACCTTGTCACCTCAACGTAAACAAATTTAAGCTCTTAATGGCAACAAAAAGGCAACTACATGCCTATTTCAACCTTAATTAAAATAGGATAATGCAACCTCGCCTCAAGTTTACTGGAAAACACTGAAAACGTCCACAAGTATCTTTTGACTCGACACGTGCGGAACGACCTGCTCAAGGCTAACTCCTCGCGGCCCTGGACAAGGGTGAGTTTTGTTAAGCTTCACCCCTTTCAAGAGACTGGAGTCAGAAGGCCTGGAAAGGTCCCTACCCAAGAAATCACGACCCCGGAGAAGGAAGTTAAGTTGTGGGGACGGTATGACCTCCCTGCAGTTGCCTAGCAGTACTGTCGCTCACGGCGGAAGGCCGCGTGGTGCTCTGCGGGGAGCATCGCCAGCCTTCTGGTAGCACCCACCACAGGTGCACTTGGCCCAGGGCCCGGTCCCAACATCACAGAGGAGCAGAACCAGACTGCCCCAAAAGCGAAGAGGCGATCCAAAAGGCCACGCGCCTTCAGGACGCCCGCACGGCAGGGAAACTCAACAGAAGAGTAAGGCCTAAGGCTAAGTTACGGAGTTAGAGTAACCGGGACTGGCAAAGGGGGAAAAGTGGGATTTCCGGCGCGGGGAAGCCTAGGAACCTTTCAGAGATGGGGAAAGCGGACATCTGGAGGAAAAATGTCCTCCACCCGCCAACGGTAACCGGAACAACGATACTGGACCTCCCACCACAAGAAAGAACGACTGCCGCCACGGAAGGGAGAAAGCCGAGGGGGTCAGAAGCGAGGCAGGAGGGGGGCGCTTCCCGGCAACCCCCTGCGCGGCCTCGGCCTCCCTCCGGGACGACCTTCCCTCGGCGGGGTGTCGCACTCACATCGTGAACGGGGCAGGGGGGGACGGGCGAACGGGTGGGCGGGCCTCTCCGGCGGCAGCTGCTGGGCAGTCGACTCTTCTCCGGTGGCGACTCCGGCGTTTTCTTCCCGGTCGCGGCCTCTTCTCGCTTCCCTCAAGCGACGGCGGCGGCGGACTCGACCTGGGTCCCCAGAATGCACCGCGCGGAGAGAGCGGCTCCTCCGATCGGGGAGAAGAGGAAAGTGTAGGAAAAGGGGCGCGAGGACGGAAAATGAACGTGCGTGCGTGAGAGCGAGGGGTGGTGAGGCCGGGCGGCGGCTGGTGACGCAGCAAAATGCCCGGGCCCTGCCGCCGCGCGTGCGCACTCTTTGTTTTCGGGCTCCTGCGCGGTTTTCTAGAGATATCTACGGAAAGGGCGGGGCCTCCCAGCTTCTTCGCGATCCTTCCTGGCCCTGGCCCCGCCCTGCGTCGGCTCCCTCGGGTCCGGCTCGTTCCCGCCTCTCCTCCCGCGCTCCCCCCTCGCGTTAGAAAACCGTTGGCCGCCTAACCGCCCGGCCACGCGCGTTGGGCTATCTCCCCCAAGAAACGGCTGTGACAGCAGGAGGAAGGCTGAAGCGTATGGAGGCAGAATCAGGAGGCTTGAAAAGTAAACAGATTGGTTACTGTTGAGGGAGTAAGCCAGTACACTGAGGAAACATTCTCTCGCAGAAAGATATGAAAAGCGTGTGCTGGTGATACTTACGCAAAGAGGCTAACTTAAGAATCGAGGGCCTGCGTGTAACTGGCTATTTTTCTGAAGGTTGGAGACTTTTGTCCAGGGGCAGCAGAAATTTGACGTCTTTGGTTGAAGAGAAACGTTTGCACTTTGAGGAGGGCATTTGCCCCTGCTTTGAGATAATTAGGGCTATAGGTGAGACAAGGAGGTTATGTAAGCGGAGGGTCGAAGTTTGTGGGAATGGGGAGACCAGGACACTCCCTGTCGGCAGGCACATCAGTTGGGGGAGGATGTTACCCATGTGTTTTCAGCCATTATCTTTCGACCTGCTGCTTTGTCCCTTGTATGTGGTTGGGCTCTAATAAGGGATAGAAACCAAGAGAATGAAAACAGTACTACCTACTCTAATTTTTTTTTAATGTTTTATTTATTTCTAAGAGAGAGAGACAGACAGACAGCGTGAGCAGGGGAGGGTCAGACAGAGAGGGAGTCACAGATTGAAACAGGCTCCAGGCTCTGAGCTGGCATTGAGCACAGAGCCCGACGCGGGGCTCGAACCCACGAACCGCGAGATCATGACCTAAGCGAAAGTCGGACGCTCAACCGACTAAGCCACCCAGGCGCCCCCAGTACTACCTACTCTAGAAGGCCTTAACAGTGGAGTAAAGGACAATTACACCAGCGCACCACTAGTTGGAATACAAAGGAAAGTTCAGTGTCCTAAGACATTTTGGAAAGTATTGGCTTCCTAGCATTAAGGATTCAATGGGGCACCTGGGTGGCTCAGTCAAACATCTGACTTCGGCTCAGGTCATGATCTCACGGTTCGTGGGTTCGAGCCCCGCGTCGGGCTCTGTGCTGACAGATTCTGCCTGCTTCGGATTCTGTCTCCCTCTCTGACCCTCCCTCGCTCGCTCTCTCAGAAATAAAAAAAAAAAAAAAAAAAAAAAAACATTTAAAAAACAACCAAAGATTCAATGGTCTATGCTGTACATGGCAGATTTGGGGAACTATGAACATTGGACACTATGCTCAAATCTCAAATTTCAGACCTCCTTTAAAAGGGATGTTAAATCCCAGCTCTCACGTTTTTAAGGAGTCAACTGCCTGTGGTGAAAAGATTATTGAGCACTATAATGGAAGTACAAAAAGTAATGGGAGCATAAAAGGAGGAGAGGTCGATATTGACTGGAAGTAATTAGGACAGGCCTTGTTAAGAAAAAATCCCAGAGGCACCTGGGTGGCTCAGTTGGATGAGCATCAGACTTCGGCTCATCTTTGGTTTGTGAGTTCAAGCCCTGCATGGAGCTCGCTGCTGTCAGCACAGACCCTGCTTAGGATCCTCTGTCCCCCTCGCTCTCTGCTCCTCCTCCGCCCATGCTTACTCTCTCAAGAATGAATTAATAAATAAAAGAAAAATTAATCCCAAACATGGAAATAAAGCAAGGATTGGGGGATGACCTTTCAGTTCATACCAGGACATGGATTAATCTCCATCTCCAAGGATTGTTCTCTAGGAGGAGAAGGTGCCTGTGTTTGACTTTGGTTAGAACTCAAATATTGTAATCTGTTAAACTGTTGATTTCTGACTGATAGAAAAGCTAACCCCCAAATTACAATTATAACACTGTTCAGTTTTGTTTAACCTGCAACCTTATTCTCTTTTTATTTGTATGCCTAGAAGTACCTTGTTCTTTAAATGCTCCTGAAACCAGTTTTACCATCTTACTAATTGCATCAATGCGTTAAATAAATGTTTGGCTCATGTTAATTTTATATTTGTGAGAGAATTATGTTTTTAAATTTTTTGAAAACTGCTTTAACAATTTCATAGAGGTGACAGCAGGAATGAGTGGTAGGAGTACATCGCAGGAAAGAATCTTGATAGTTAGGAGACAGAGAAGAATTTCTAGGTCAGGGATTGGCAAAGTTTCTGTAAAGGGTAAAGTAAGGTTAGAAGGTCATAAGGCCTTCTGAGCTCTGCTGTTGGAGCATGAAAGCAACCATACAAAATGTATAAACAAATGAGAGTTGCTGTGTTAAAAAGAAAGAAAGAAAGAAAGAAAAACTAAGAATGCTGAAATCTGAATTTCTTATATTCACACGGCACAAGTTATTCTTTTCCAACGTTTTGAGAATGTAAAAATCTTTTTTACCTTGAAAGCCGTCCAGAAATTGGTAGTTTGCTGGATTTGGTCTGCAGGCTATGGTTTGCCAACCCCTGGTCTGGGTTATCCTAGAATACAGGAAAATAATTCAAGATAAGGTTTAGGAGGTAGGTCACAACCAAAAATGATGGTACTGGGGCACCTGGGTGGTCCACCTAGTTAAGCAGCCAACTCTTGATTTCGGCTCAGGTCTCTTACAGTTCTCTTTATAGTTCTCTTATAGACCTCTATAGGTCTCTAATAGTTCATGAGATCAAGCCCTACATCTGGCTCTGCGTTAAGAGTGTGATGCTTGCTTGGGATTCTCTCTCCCTCCCTCTCTGCCCCTACCCCACTAGAGTTCTCTCTCTCCCTCAAAAATAAACAAAAATGATTGTATTGAATATCATATTGTTTTCATCTTATTTCTCTGACAATGGGAAGTGTTGAAGTTTTTTTTGGAGGGGCATAACACTCTTGTGTCCAGGATAGATTACTTTGGTAACCTACAAGGTGAAGTGAAAATAGTAGAACTAAGTTGAAGATAGCATTTAGAAGACTGCAACCCCAAATAATTGACAATGTCCCGTATCAAAAGTGCAATGGGAAAAACTGCCTTTCACACACACGAAAGAATTTTTTGATGTTTATTGGGGCGGGGGGGCAGAGAGACAGGGAGACCCAGAATCCACAGCTGAAGTCAGATGCCTAACCAACTGAACCACCCAGGTGCCCCTAGGTTTCTTTTTCAAATTCACTAACAAAATCTAAATTCAAACATGTATAGTTACAGTGTCAGGGCTTTGGGGAGAGAAATCTGCAACTCAAAAGGACAGAAACTAGAAAATACTTGGCAAGTATTAGATCCCATTTCTCTAAGTTTAATCCTAACAACCTCCTAAGAGACAAATTCCCAGGACAATTTAAAAATTAGTAAAAGCAATATGGAAACAATGTGTGTGTCAGTTGTAATTGTAGCACATATCTTCTCCCTGGTATTTTATTTTCAAAATATTTTAAGTTATCTCCACACCCAACGTGGGGCTCAAATTCACAAGAGTCAGTTGCTCTGAGACAGCCAAGCACCCCTCCCTGATATTTTTCTGAGGACTGTGGGTCCACAGACACTAATACCAAAAAAGAACTTTATAAATTGATGTGAGCAATTAAAAAAATATTGTAACGGATGGGAACAGTTTTGTGAGGGGATTTTCAAATAAGAAAAGCACTTAGGTTGTTAATTTTGTATTTGTAAGGCAAAGGGAAGGAGGCAAAGTAGTAATCTGTTCTAGGTATGGGGAATAAGAAATTGAGTCAAAGTTTAAGGGAGACATCATCGCTTAGCTAAAATCACATACAGCAACTTAAACTACTTCATGTTATCTGATGCCATCATCTTCCCACAGTTTGGAATCATACCCTATCAGTCTGGTTTGGCAATAATGAGAAGGGTTGAAAACACTGTGTCTCATGTTGAGCTTTATCTTACTCTGAGTTTTGCTACCGGTCTTAACTGTAATCTGACAAAAGCATGAATAGCTCTAGGAGAAGGAAGAGGCCTGGGGCGCCTGGGTGGCTCAGTCAGTTAAGCATACGGACTTCGGCTCAGGTCATGATCTTATGGTTCGTGGGTTAGAGCCCCATGTCGGGCTCTGTGCTGACAGCCAGCTCAGAGCCTGGAGCCTGCTTCGGATTCTGTATCTCCCTCTCTCTCCGACCCTCCCCTGCTCACGCTGCTTCTCTCTCTCTCTCTCTCTCTCTCTCTCTCTCAGAAATAAATAAAACATAAAAAAAAAAAGGGGGGGGCGCGTCTGGGTGGCTCAGTTGGTTAAGTCCAACTTCGGCTCAGGTCATGATCTTGAGATTTGTGGGTTCGAGCCCTGCGTCAGGCTCTGTGCTGACAGCTAGCTCAGAGCCTGGAGCCTCTTTCAGATTCTGTCTCCCTCTCTCTCTGACCCTTCCCTGCTCACGCTGTCTCTCTCTCTCCCAGAAATAAATAAAACATTAAAAAATTAAAAATAATAAAAATAATAAAAAAATAAAAGAAGGAAGAGGCTTTTAAAAGCCAATCTACAGGGGTGCCTGGGTGGCTCAGTCGGTTAAGTGTCTGACTTTGGCTCAAGTCATGATCTCACAGTTCTTGAGTCTGAGCCCTGCATCAGGCTTTGTGCTGAATGTTTGCTCAGAGCCTGGAGCCTGCTTCGGATTCGGTGTCTCCTTTCCCTCTGCCTCTCCTCCACTCAT